CTGGACTCCATACTCACTCAACCCCATGGTTACGTAGAGTCACAATCATATGGCATGGAAATAGACCCTTCGGTCCAACCAGTCCATGCCAAACATAATCCTAAGCCAAACTAGTCCTACCTGTCTGGTCCTGGCCCATATCCCTCCAAACCTTTCCTATTCATATATCCATCCAAAATGTCTTTTAAACTTTGTAATTTTTTTTCCTTTATTCATTCACAGGATGAGGGCATTGCTGGCCAGACAACATTTATTGCCCATCCCTAATTGCCCAGGGAGGCAGTTAAGAGTCAACCACATTGCTGTAGGTCTGGAGTCACACATAGGCCAGATCAGGTGAAAAAGACAGATTAAAAGGACATTAGTGAACCAAATGGGTTTTTCCAACAATCAACAATGGATTCATGATCATTATTAGACTCTTAATTCCAGATATTTATGGAATTCAAATTCCACTGTCTGCTGCGGCAGGATTCAAACCAGGGTCCCCAAAACATTATGTATGTCTGTGGGTTAACAGTCCAGTGATAATACCACTAGGCCATCACCCCCTCGCATCCACCACTTCCTCAACAAGTTCATTCCATGTGAACATATGAACCACCCTTTTAAAAAAGAACTGCCTCGTGTCTTTTTTTAAATCTCTCTCCTCTCACTTTAAAAAATGTGCTCCCGAGTCTTGAAATCCCCCATGCCAGGAAAAAGACAACTACCATCAACTTTATCTCTACCTCTCATTAATTTATAAACTTCCATCAGGTCACCTCTCAACCTCCTATGCTCCAGTGAAATAAGTCCCAGCCTATCCAGCCTTCCCATACCTGGTAAATCTCTTCTGAGCCCTCTCCAGCTTGATAATATCATGAACATAGAACAGTACAGCATCGTACAGGCCCTTTGGCCCACGATGTTGTGCTGACCTATTATCCTACTAAGATCAAACTACCCTGCATACCCTACATCATACTATCCTCCATGTGCCCATCCAAGATTCACTTAAGTGTCCCTAATGTATCTCCACTACCACTGCCAGCAGGACATTCCACATGCCCACCACTCTCTGTGTGAAGAGCCTATCTCCCCTATACCTTCCTCCAATCACCTTAAAATCATGTCCCCTCATTTCCGCCCTGGAAAAAAGTGTCTAGCTATCCACTCTATCGATACTTCTCATCATCTTGTACACCTCCAAGTCACCTCTCATCCTTCTTCGCTCCAATGAAAGAAGCCCAAGCTCCCTCAACCTTTCCTCGTAAGGCCAGCTCTCCCACCAGGCAGCATCCTGGTAAATCTCTTCTGCACCCCCTCTAAAGCTTCCACATTCTTCCTATAATTGGGCCACCAAAACTGGACACAGTATTCCAGAAGAGGCTCACCAATGTCCTCTACAAACTCAACCATGACTTCCCAATTCCTATGCTCAAAGGTCTGAGCAAAGAAGGCAACCATACCAAATGCCTTTTTGACCACCCTGTCTATTTGTGACACAAACATCAAAGAATTATGTACCTGCTCCCCTAGGTCTGTCTGTTCTACAATACTACCCAAGGCCCTACCATTAATTGTCTAACCCCTACCCTTGTTTGTTGTACCAAAATACAATATCTTGCATTTTTCTGGATTGAACGCCATCCGCCATTTTTCAGTGCATTGACCCATTTGATCAAGATCCCTTTGTAATCTTAGAAAACCTTCTTCACTGTTTACTATGCCACCAATTTTGGTGTTATCCACAAACTTACTAACCATGCCTTCTATGTTCTCATCCAAGTCATTTATATAAATGACAAAAAAGAACCCAGAACCGATCCCTGTGGAACACCGCTGGTCACAGGCCTCCAGTCTGAAAACCAACCCTCCACCATCACTCTGTCTCCTGCCGTTAAGCCAATTATGTATAAAATTGGCAAACTCACCCTGAATTCCATTTGACCTAACTGTACTATTTAGTCTATCATGCAGAACTTTGTCAAAGCTTTACTAAAATCCAAATAAACAACACCTACTGCTCACCATCAACCACCTTTTCGGTAACTTCCTCAAAAAACTCAGTTGAGTTTGTGGGGCACTATTCTCCTTGCACAAAACCATGCTTACTATCCCTAATCAATTTTTGCCCCTTTAAATGTCAATAAATCCTATCTTTTGTAATCACTTCCAACAATTTACCCACAACCAAAATCACACTCAAGCTCTATGATTCCCCTGTTTCTCTGTACAACCCATCTTACTGCTATAACATTAGCCACCCTCCAGTCACCAGACATCTCACCCGTAGTTATACATGATGCAAGTACTTCTGCAAGGGGTATTGTAATTTCCTCCCTTACTTCCCACAACATTCTGGGATACATTAGATCAGGAGATTTATCCACCTTTATATTCTCTGAAACCTCCTGAACTTCCTCTTCTGTAGTGTGAACTGCTTTTAAAACATTAAAGTTTATTTCTCTGTATTTGCTAACCTCCATTTCTTTGTCCACGGTAAAAACTGACACGAAATATTCGTTTAGTATCTCTCTCATCTCCTGGGGATCATACAAAGACAACCTCTTTGATCTTTAACAGCCCTAAACTCTCTCCAGTTGGCCTCATGTTCTTAATGTATTTGTAAAATCTCTGGATTATCCTTATCCTTATCTGCCAATGCTATCTCATATCCCTTCTTTGCCTTCCTGATTTCTCTCTCAAGAATGCTCCTACACACTTTACAGTAACAGATTCAAATTGTACCAAGTTGTCCATTTCTCTTTTATTGTCGACTAGAACCTCAATATCTTTCTTCATCCATTGTTTCTTAATCTTTCCAGCCTTACCCTTCATTCTAACAGGAAGAAAATGCCTCTGAACTCTCGTCTTCACACCCTTGAATGCCTCCCTTGTGATTAGCTTTCAATGTCAGTGGACCTGACTCAAATCTCCCCCAACGCCCATCCTTCTGGAGCAAAACCTGGGTCTATCAGGGTCCTTAAAACAGAGACCAGTTTGCTGAGTCAAGAGATTTTGCCACCCATTTCAAAAGCAAACATCTGGGTCTGATGACTCAAAGGTTAAGCCCAAAAGGCAGAAAGTACTTTTTTGATACAGGACATCTCTAAAGGAACAAGGTTCACCAAGTGTCTCCGTTCCCAAAGTTATTTTGTTGAATATCAGAAAAAAAACTTTAAATGAGTATGTTCCAACCTGAAATCATTCATCCCAAAATACTACTGTTGGGGTTGGTTTAAGCTAGCTTGTCAGGGGAAAGTGAACCAAGTGGTGACCCATACTGGAACAGAGTCAAGCTGGTTACAGGAAGCGGAAAGTGGCGAGCAGGACAAGAAGGCAGGAGAAACAAATCCAAGATTGAGTATTCCTTCATAAGAGGAATGATGTAAAAAAGTCAAAGTTAAGGACATTATCTGGATGCACTTAGCGTTCACAACAGAAGATATTGAAAAGGCACAAAGAGGTATGTGGGTATGATCCTTGATGGCAATTTGATCAATTCTTGAGCACCAGCTGTTTACAATATATAATCAATGATTTGGACATGGGAAACAAATGCAAGAAATTACAGGGAGTTGTGAAGACAGCCCAGTCCATCACAAAAACCAGTCTTCCTTCCACTGACTCAGTCTACATTTTCCACTGCTTTGGGAAAGCAGCCAACATAATCAAAGACCTCACTCACACCACTTACACTCTCTTCCACCCTCTATCAGGTAGAAGATAAAAACACTTAAAAATACACACCAACAGATTTAAGAACAACCTCTTTCAAACTTATCAGCCTAATGATCAGACCTTTCACATTAGAGATGATCTTTCTCTGCGTGGTCGCTGTAGCTGTAACACTGTATTCAGCATTCTGTTTTACTACCTCGATATACTTGTGTAACGTATGATTTGTCTGGTTAGCACGCAAAACACTAGTTTTCACTGTACTGAGGTACATGACAATAATAAATCAAATCAAATGATACAAAGCTAAGCAGGAATGTGTTTTGTGAGGATGTAAAACGCTTTCAGGAAGATTTGACAGGTTTATTCACTGGACAAGAACACAGCAGGTAGAATGTAATGTGGAAAAAATGAGAGATTATCCAGGTGCAAATTACTGCAGATGCTGGAATCTGCACTGAAAACAAAAAAATGCTGGAAATCACAGCTGGTCAGGCAGCATCTGTGGAGAGAGAGCAAGCTAACATTTTGAGTCTAGATGACTCTTCATTTTGGTAAGGACAGATGTGCAGAGTATTTCCCAAATACTGAGACTGGAAAAATAAGCTATGGAAAGAGGCCTAGGTGGCCTTGACAATAGGTCACTGAATGCTAACATGCATTCAGTGCATATTTCCCTCGTGTTCTCTTACTGGGGAGTCTAGGGGACACCATTTTGAAAAAAATAAGGTGGTGATGCCAGTTACGACCAAGATGAGTAAAATTTTTTTTTTTTTAAAAATCTCAGACGGTCATTAATCTTTGGAATTCTCTAACAAGCAGCACTTTGGATGCTCAGTTTTTGAGTCTGTTTAAAGTAGAGTTTGAAAAACTTTTAGTTTACTAAGAGCGCAAAGGGTCTTGGGGATAATGTGGTTAAAAGGCATTGAAGTATTTAAGTCAGCTGTGATCGTATTGAACAGCTAGGCAAGTTCAAATGGCTGAATGGCCTACTCCTGTTCTTATGTATCTTTGCTCCTAATACATATTCCAAACAATTCCAAAAGCGTGTCAGAGCTGATACTGGCAGAAAATGCTAGCTATTACTAGAAGATCCTGCAAGCACCTCTATCTGGCTCGCACTACCAGTTAATTTCACCTGTCAAATATTATGAATGAGGAAAGTGCTGGGTCAGTAACTTAAAAATAAAGATTCACTGTGTGCTGTCCAACATATTACACATTTCGTAATAAAGTGCTTGTGCTATGCAATGATGCATGACCAATATTAGCTTTCATAATGCACTTTAAATAAATTATATTGAAGCCAATCTGTTAACTGATGATTAATTTAATACCTCATCTTTTCCAAGAGTCTTGAGATGGTCCAAGATTTGTCCAATCAGAGTTTCAGCAAGTTTATTAATTTCAGCCAAGAATTTGGGGTCACTGCCATAGAGGTTATCATTGGAATCAACTGCAAGACAAGAGAATTTCCAGATAAGCTTTATACTGTGATCCAAATTCGATTTTGACAGCAATGTTTAATTCTTGCACTGAACTGAGAAAAGAAATGTGTTGTATTTTTTGAAAAAAAAGTGTTCCTGTCAGAGAGATACCAGATATCATGCTTAAGCTCTCAGTTTTAGTTGCTTCATTAAATTGCTGCAACATCTTTTTCAAAAATTCATACAGTGTGCTCCCATCTCAGACAGCAAGTAGAAATGCATTTTAAAAAAAAAAAGACTTCCCTAATTGCACTCCCTTGACTTTTTTAAAAAAAAAGTTATCCATTTTCCATGGGTTCTTTATAGCCATCAAACCTGGCTTGACTTCCAGAAACATATCTGGTGGGAGAATAAGTAGACCATTCAACCTCCTCCACCATTCATTACGATCATAGCGGATTATCAAGGAATACCTAATCCTGTCCTCCCTCCGCACAGCGCGATTCCTTTAGCCACGAAGCTATATCTACCACTTTCTGCAGTGGTGAATGGCACAGGCTCACCACTCTGAAGAAATTTCTCCTCTTCTCAGCCCTGAAAGTTTAAGGATACAGGTAAACCTACGTTCCCTGGTCTGGACTCACCTGCCATCAGAAACAGACTTTCTGCACCTAACCTCCCCAGTCGTGTTAAACTTTAAGGTTTCTAGGAGATATCTACTTCATTCTTCTAAAGTCGAGTGGATACAATGCTAACCAACTCGATCTCTTCTCATATGTTAGCCCTGCCTTCCCAAGAATCAACTTGGTAAACCTCTGCTGAACTCGCTCCTTTGCCAGAACTTCCTTCCTCAGATAAGGAAACCAAAACTGCACGCAATGTTCAAGGTGTGGCATCACAAATGCCCTGCATAATTGCAGCAAGACATCCTCCTCATGCACTTTAATCCTCTCCCCATGAAGGCCAATGAACCGTTTATCCCTTCACTGCCTGCTGTACCTGTGCACTTACTTTAAGCACCTGGTGCAGGAGGACATTCAGGGCTCATTGACCACTCCCCTCTTTCCGTTTACAGCCAAATAATAATCTGCCTTCCTACTTTTGCCACTGAAATGGATAACCTCACATCTATCTACATTATACTCCATCAGCCATGCAGTGGCTCACTCAGTCAGCCTGTCCAAATCTCACTGCAACGTCTCTGCATCCTCCCCATAGGTCACCCATCCACCCAGCTTTGTCACCTGTAAATTTGGAGAATACATTGCAACATTCCCTGTTGTACCTCAAGTCACTGCCTACCATTCGGAAAAAGATCCGTTTATTCCTACTTTTGGTCCTGGTCTACTAACCAATTTTCTATCCATCTCAATGCACTACTGCAATCCCATGCACTTAAATTTTACACATTAATCTCTTACTTGGGGCTTTGTCAAAAACTTTGAAATTCCAAATAAACCATATCTATTGCCTCCCCGGATCACTCTACTAGTCACACCCTACACTGTCTGGAGGATGCACAATGATGAACATGCATTTCTGTGCAAATTAAACAGTCTAAAAAATATTCCAAGGCATATACTATACCTTTATCCACATGATAAAGATAAGTTTCTTGACTTGCTGCAGCCAACAAATGCAAAACGTTTATGTAGATTCGTACTTTTGAATCAGAATGATCTTCCCAAATGTAGTCCTGGATCACATTCAAAAGGCCTCTCACCAAATACAAGACTCCTTGCTCTGGATGATCCTGTCCAAAAATACATACAACAGGTTAATGATTAAATGGGTTACTGTAAACTGGAAGACAACAGCAAATTAATTATTTCCTTGCCACTCCTCTTCAAGTGCTAACACAGAATATTCTTGTTACTTCCCACAGTGCAGGACATGAGCAATGACGCTTTTCAAAACAAGCTTGCAACTACTAATTGTTCCCATTGGATAATATCAATAATTTATTAAAAAAAAAACAAAAAAAAAAAACACTTCACTCAAGTCTGAAAATTCAGGATGCTCCTCCAAAACAATTAGCTGCAGTTTTGTAAGGCAAGTTGACTTACTGGCATGGAATTAGTGATGTATGACATCTGACATAGCAAAACTGATCACTCCCTTTCCTAGTTTATCCGCAAAAATAACACTTGCTTTTCCACATCTGAAAGTCCCTCTAGCTTTTCAGCTTCCATACCTACAATTCCATTCTCTTAGCTTTGGTGCATCATTCAAATGGGTATCTCCTGCTCGTTATCCTTAAATCCCTCACAATAGCAAAAGCTGTCTAAATCCTTTACCAAAAGTTTAATTTAGTTATACAGCCTTAGAGCAATGAGAGAGAAAGCAACAACGTGCAGTCTGATAAGAAGTTGAGACCTTCAGAAAACAGATTTAGGTTATATTTATTAATTATGTAAGAAATGAGTTTGAATCATTTGTCAAAAGAGAACAAAAAATCAGACACAGACAGAGGTCACGTTTTAAGATTTCAAAACAATTGAGGATTATTAGTCAGGCTCGTTGTATGATATAGTCACATGTCCAAGTTTAAAGTTTTGGAAAATCTGTAGCTCGGGTGGTGGGTGAGGTTGTTGACTTGCTCGCCTTTTCTCGTTCAGATGCTTCGTCACTATACTAGGTGACATCATCAGTGGAGCCTCCAATGAAGGGATGTTATTCTACTCCACTTGGAATTTATACTGTTTGGTCCATTATGGCGAGTAGTGTCATTTCCGGTTTTGAACTGTATGGGTTTGTATATGGGGTCCAATTCTATATATTTTTGTTGACTGCATTACGGATGAACTGCTACATATCAAAACCAGAAGTGACACTACTCACCATAACACACCGGACAGTATAAATTCCAAGCAGAGTAGAATAATATCGCTTCATCGGAGGTTCCACTGATGGTGTCACCTAGCATGGTGACGAAACTTCTGAATGAGAACAAGCCAGCTCGGTGAGCAAGTCAACAACCTCACATGTACAAGTTACATATGAACACACAGGATCTAACTCTATGTAGACACTGCACCTTTTTCTTTAAAGAAGTGTCATAGAGAATGCCTATTCCTGATGCATTCCCCATGGCAACTCCCTGACCAATCACTAAGAGTTTGTGCCTGGTCTGGAACTTTTCCAGCCAAAATTGCCATCTAACAGTTCCTGTTGCACCTCCATGCCACCATGGTCCAACCAATCGGCATGCTGTCCTCATGTTGTATGAATTGGTGTCCCCTTTCCAAATTTGGTTTCTTGTATGTCGCTCCTGAGAAGTCTGAAACCAAAAGTTTCAGTTTAACTTTGAATTTAACCCTCCTCTGCGATTGATAATCACCAATGTTGTCTGACACAAAAGTAGAAATTGCTGAAGAAACTCAGCAGGGCTGTCAGCATCTGTGGAGAGGAAACAGTTAATGTTTCAAGTCCAGTGACCCTACTTCAGAACCAAAATGTTGTGTCTGTCTCGTTCTCCAGCTATCCCATTCTCAGTTGCTGCTGTTGAAAAATAACATTGCCAATAAGGTGACAATTTAATAATTTAATTTGTAGCAGTGAAGAAACAACATAATGTGAATTAACAGCTAAGTATGTGCATTGCAATTTTGCATTGTTATGTTAAAATATCCTGTTAAAATGAAACAAAAAACAACTACTACGTTTAAAATTAGTCCACCCCACAGTTAACAGAAGCTGGGATTATCCATCAAATAGCATTTAACAAATGTAAAATTTAATCATATAAACACCAAAATATTGACATTGTAAAACAAGCAAGCAATACTTCATGAAGAAAATCCTAACATAGATTCAAATTCCCTTCCTAAACCCCTCTCTCAAGATGCTTCTTAAAATCTACTGCTTTGACCAAGTTTTTAGTTAATCCTTCATGCTACTTCATGTCAAATTTTGTCAATAACATTCTTGTTTTGTGAAGAGTCTTGGGATGTTTTTTTAAGCTACATTCTTGTTGTATCTGACTTAGAATTTGATCCAGCATGATTATAACCTTATTAATAAGGAAGACAGGGTCTTAAAAACTGGACTGAATTAATTTATGTCTCTTGATTCAATTATCTCCAGCTCTCTCATGCTTTTTCACTGTACATGCAAGCAGATGACTGCCCCAGGCCTTTTAAAATATGGATCAAATCAGCTTCATTCCCTCTTAATCTGAAGTCTCTTACAATCGTGGTGCAGCCTCAACCAAGAACTCTGACAAACTTAGGACAAAAAACCTGGGATCCTGTTTCACAGCAGCTGTACATTCCCCAACACTGCCCTGCCCAGAAATAATGCTATATGATTAAGAATACTTACAGGCACCATCAACAATGTGGAAAAGAAGTTATTAAGGAATTCAAGAAGAAATCCTTCTGAAGTTCTCATCTTCCCATCGATGTTTATCATTTTTGGTACTTCCGCAACAAGGCTGATTGCTGCTTTAAAGAAGGCATCAGCTAATAAAAGAAAACAAGGTGTAATTAGGATAACGAATACTTCACTTCCATTATATGAAAAAAAAGAGTTGATTTTCTCCACCATGTATATGGTCCCTTGCTTTTTTTTTTTAAAAAAAGATACACCTCGATCAAGCCTACATTTGTAGAGTTGAGTCAGCTTATCTTTCAGTTATAACAATACAGATGCAGGGAGCATTTGTTCCAAATAGCACCTATAACCTCAAAATAAAAAACAGTTACAGGAGTTCTGATCTTTATCACAGAATGCCTTCAGGGCAATTTTTCCCTCTGTTCCCCTTAACAAGTGGAGTGTGTGGTGGAATACTCCCCACTTGCCTCAGTGTGTACAGCTCCAACATGCCTCAAAAAGCTTAACATTCAGAACCAAGCAGTCCACTTGACTGGCACCTCATCAACATTTATTCCCTTCCTCACTGATGCGTAGTGACCGCAGTGTATACCATCTACAAAATGCACTGCAGCAACTCAGCAAAGTTCCTTCAACAGTGACTGCAAACTCTCCTCCAAGCCACGCATCATCTCAACTTGAAAACATGTCACCATCCCTTCAGTGTTGCTGGGTGAAAATCCTAAACTCCCTCAGTAACACTGTGGGCATCCCGACATCTCATGGACTGCAGAGGTTAAAGGCAGCAGCTCACCACCACCTTTTCAAAGTCAAAGTCAACTAGGGATGGACAATATACTAGGTGAGCTAGCAGCACAGGAATTCCTAGAAGCCTGGTATTCCACTAAGAAAGCCATCAACAAACGCATAGAGCTCGACCCCATATATACTCCACTGCGAAGGAAAACCGGAGGGGAGGTAATCCAGCTCAACGGACTTCAGAGTTTAAATAACAGGCGAGAAAAGACAACGGCACTTCATCAGAGGCTGCACTGATGATGTTACCCAGCAGGGTAATGAAATGTCTGCGGAAAAACAACGAACCAGCTCGATGAGCCAACCAACCACAACATCCACAAGCCGAGCTACAAATCTACTCTAAAACCTTTGGGCAAACTATGTTGCACTGAGAGGCGAGCAAAGTCTCAAGGAACTGCCTAAATGCTAATGAAAACTGGAACAAAAAAGTCAAACAACTTTACAGGTTTGGAAGGACATTGGCCAAATGCAGGCAGGTGGGATTAGTTTAGTTTAGGATCATGGTCAGCATGGACTGGTTGGACAGAAGGGTCTGTTTCCATGCTGTATGATTCTGATGCTACAACTTCAAATATAAATTGGGTCAATTTTATTTAAATCATTTCAGTGTCTAAACAAATATTACGCTAACAAAATTCCCCTCCATGTTAAACAGATGTTAGGCATTACCAAAAAAAAAAAAAACAATTAAAACAGTATCAAATTTAATTTCGTTCTGCATAAAAACTGGCCCAAAGTATCAGACAAAACGGGATGCATCATCACACACAAGCTAATCCAACTCCTTAGGTGAATCCAAAGTACATATGGACACATTTTCAATAAATGGCATGCAAAATATTATTTATTTGTGGAGACATAAAACATGAATCAACATTTAATGTTTCAAACTTTTACTTTTATCAAAGTCATTTTCTAGGTCACGTCTGCTTGTGTGAGAGACCGAGCCTATTTTATCTTTACAGCTGTCCAGCTTTTCACACATGGACCCTTAATGTAAAATCACCGTGGTAACAATACACGTTAAAAAAGGACCTCAGGAATCAACTGTCTACTAATTTTACTGACAAGTGACAGCAAAAAAAAAAAAATATCAGTTTGAAATAATTCATGCCCAGGAGCATGCAACATTTATATAATTTACAGCTTTTCTTTGTTAAAGATTTCGGGAAATAAAGCACCGGGGACAATCTGTGATAATTTTGAATATACTGAAATTCTTAGGTTTTTTAAAAAATTAACTTTACTGACAAACAGTTTTCAAAGATAGTCACATTGATAAAGTGTGATATTTAACAAAAGCAAATAGAATAGAATATAGAACATAACAGCGCAGTACAGGCCCTTCAGCCCTCGACGTTGTGCCGACCTGTGAAACCAATCTGAAGCCCATCTAACCTACACTATTCCATTATCATCCATATGTTTATCCAATGACCATCTAAATGCCCTTAAAGTTGGCGAGTCTACTACTGTTGCAGGCAGGGCATTCCAAGCCCTTACTACTCTGAGTAAAGAACCTACCTCTGACGTCTGTCCTATATCTAGGATAAATGCAGAAAACTATACAACAATACAAACAAAGAACAATACTGCACAAGACCTGGCCCCTTGGCCCACCAAGGCTACACCAACACAATGCTTTTCGAAATGAAAAACCTTTTGCCTCTACACAGTCCGTATCCCTCTCTTTCCTTCCTACTCACGTATCTGGCAAGTAAGAGGCATCCTGTCAGTGTCAGGTCAGAAATATGCTGAAATAAAAACTGAAAATGCCCCAGTCAGGCAGCATTTGTGTTCAAACTAAGAATTAATGCTTCAGGTTGGTGGCTGTTCATCAGACTGGAAGAGGTTAGGTGTGGAACACAATTTAAAGAATTACTGAGACAGGAAAAAGGAAATGGGAGAAAAGGACAAAAATGGTCTGTATAAGATGGAAGTAATTACATGGGAAGTAGAATGGTGATACAATGCAGGTGGGAGTGGTAATGGACAAACTTAAAAAACAGTTGGGCCGAGAGAACCTGTAAATGGCAATAGTAGAACCGTAAGCTACACCTGCCATTTAACAGAACGAAAGCTCTGGTTATGCTCTAAAATTAGTGAACTCAACGTTGAGTCCAATTTACTGCCATAAGTACATTACATGCTTTAAGCTAAAAGCTGCTTCTTAACTCAGTGGTAGGAAATTAGAAAGGAAGGAAGGAAGTAATAAGGTGTAGTCAGTTGAAAGATCTACTGAAAGGACAAAGCAGACTGGGAGGCAGACACTGTGGGGAAAAAGGGACAAGAAATGGAAATATGTTAATATAGTCAAAGCCTGGCTGCACTGAGAGGAGGTCAAAGTATGGGCTGTCCAAAGGGGATGGGGGTGAGGGAGTTTTCCATTCATCTTTTGAAAAACTTCCATTGCACAAATCAGTGGCCAGTGGGAGATGACTAAAAGCAGCTAACTGGCACAGCACGTTAATAAATTATAGGTTGAACATGTCAGTCAGTCTCCCATATGACTGCTCTGAATCTCAGCCAAACACAGAAAGACGAAAGAAAAAGCTACTTCCCAGCACTTCTTAAAAAGGACTCAATTCAGTTGTAAATCACAAGAGAGCAATATGAAATTGATTGGAATTTAAATTTATAGTTTCCACAATATGAAAAGCAACCATTTTATTCTGATAATTCCAATGCAGAATTATTTACAGATGCTCCTGCTCCTCCTGGAGGAATCAGGATAATTCTGCTTTAATCTGTATTTAAACACAACATTTTTTCTGTTTGACTTTTCAGAGACAACAATTGCAAGATGGCGATGGCGAAGTAGGCTAAAAACAGTTTATTTTTTTTCCTTTGTATTTACCTTCCTGAGAGAGCTCGGTCGTGAAGGCAGGGGCGCCCACTGCATCACGGCTCATTACACAATGGAGCACGGCAGCAGCCGAGGGCCTGGATCGGAACATTGACAGTCCGAGATCAAGCCCAACCAATGTGGCTGTGAAGGAAATCCCCCAGCATCTGTGGCAGCAAGAGCAGGCAGCCCAAGGAGTCACACAGAGTGGGCAAAAGCGGAGGCGATTGAGCCCTTGTAGGGAGTGCAAGCCCTGCAGGGTTAAGGATTTAAAGACTGTTAACACTTTCAAAAACCAAAAGAACTGCAGATGCTGTAAATCCGAGACAAAAATGGAAACTACTGGGAAAGGTCAGCAGGTCTGGCAACATCTGTGGAGAGAATCAGAGTTAAATGCTTCAGGTTCTTGAGGAAGGCTCACTTGACCCAAAACGTTAACTCCGATTTCTCTCCACAGACGCTGCCAGGCCTGGTGAGCTTTTCCAGCAGTTTCTATTTCTATTTCTTTATTTTTCTACTCGGTACCCAAAATTTTGTGCCTAGATGCCTTTGTAATTAAGATGGTACCAGGAATGGCAACATTGATATACTTTTCACTGCACTCAAATGCTCCTGTGCTGAATTACAGCTGAAAATAAAATCTAATTCTAATTCTAATCAATGCAAAGTTCCTCGGAGAAAAGGCAATCAATTACATTGCAGCACTGTCACTTGCACAACTCTCTGACCTTTCTTACTGCCTGATCCTGTGTGCTCCTGGTTTCTGGAAAAAGAAGACGACAAAATATAACATCATCGTTCCACCAGTCATTTTTTCCACATTCATTGCACCCATCTCTCATTCTTGTCCCTCTAATCTCTTCAGCATGTACGTAAATGGCTCTGGCTTTTGTTTTTACTTTTGTCAATTGCAATTTCTGAACACCAAGAAGTAATAAGCTGATGACAGGAACCCAGATTTTGCTCAGGGAGGTGCTTTTTGATTATGAATTTGGAACTTGTCACTGCAATAAAATTTGGAACATTTTAAAGATTGGCTGAAATATTGTCATCTCTTGCCCTTTCAAGTTCATCCTGTTCAAGAAGCCAACCTTCAAATTTCTTGGTACATTTCCAAGTAAACCAGGCAGAGTAGAGAAGACAGTAGGGAAGTGAAGGAAGCTATGAGGGGCAAAAGGTGAATCAGATGAGACTGGCAAGCAACATCAAAAGAAAATTCAAACAAGTATTCCATATGTATATAGTGGGGCCAATGAAGAACCAAATAGCAAACTGCTTAGAGACAGAGACAGAGAGCACAAGTAAAGCACTAACAAGCAGGAACACTGAATTTAGGAAGAGCAGTAGGTTATTTGGGTCCTCGAGACTGGCTGCGCAATTCAACATCACAGCTAATCCAGTTTTGGTGTCAGCTCCACTTCCCCATCTGTCCCTGTAACTCTTGTCTCACTTGTTGATCAAAGATTTATCTAACACAGTCTTGAATAAACTTAAACACCCAGGCTCCACGATCTTCTGGGAGAGATAATTCACACACTTCAGGGTGCTGCAAGGAAATAAACAATTTCGGTCTCAAAAAGGAAGATTTCTTTATGTACAGTCTCTAATTTTTGACACTCCACAAAAAACAAAGTCCTCTGGCTATCCATCCTATCCAGTCCTCTCAAGATCTTAAATATTTCAATAAAATTACCTCTCATTCTTGTCAACTCCAATTAGGTATAGACCCAATCTGTTCAATTTAAGATAAGCCTTTCATCCCAGGAATGGATCAGACAGAAAGAAAGAAATTATATGCTTTTTTTCTCTCAAATAAAACGACCAAAACTGTACGGTAGTCTCACCGATATTCTCTAAAACTGGAGAAAAAGCACAGCTTTTTTGAAAATTCCAACCCTTTGAAATAAGTGACAACATTCCATTTGCTTTCCTAATCACTTGCTGTATCTGGATGTTAATTTTGAGGTTCATTTACCACAACACCCAGCTCCTTCTGTATTATAAAGTCCTGTATTCTCGCTCTAATCATAGAGCATATTGCTTTTCTAACCTTCCTGCTAAAATGGACAAGTTCACATTTACTACATTATAAAGCATTTGAGAATTTACTGCCCACTCATAATTGGCTATAATCCACAGGCCTTTCTGGATTCTCTAGCTCCTCTTGACTACTTACCAAGATAGGTAAGAAAGTTTCCAAGAAACTTAGATGCAACACATGCAGTCACCACAGTCAAACCTATTAGCATAGATTGCAAATAGTCAAGGAGCCAGTTGTGATCGCTGCACCACTACTGCCTACAGTTTTTTTTTCCCCCATTCGTAACCCTCAATTCCTTCATTGATTTAAAAAAATCTCCCAGCCTCAAGAGCCTTCTGTGATAAAGAATTCCACAGATCCACTATTCTCAAAAACAAAGCCATGTCTTAAATGGATGGCCCCTTATTCTGAAATTATGAAGGGAAACAACCTCTCAACATCCACTCTATCAAGCACCCCAAGAAACTCGTATGTTTCAATAAGGTCACCTCTCATTCTTCTAAATCCCAAAAGGCCCAACCTACTCAACCTCTCCTGAAAGAGAGGATCACTCTATATCTCGTATCAACCTATTAAACCTTTTCTGGGCTACCTCTGATGCAAGTAAATCAGATGCTGAAGACAGTGGGGAAAGAAAGAGCTAATTCTGAGATTAGAAGGGCAAAACAAAATTAAAAACTTGTGTTTATGTAGTGCTTTTCACTACAGGATGTTTCAAAACGACGTACAGTCAACGAAGTATTTCTGAAATGCATCAGCTGTTGTAATGTCAGAAATTGTCAATTGTCAGCAAATTTGCAATCAAAATTCTCTCAAAAGCAATAGAACACGACCAGATATCCTCAAATGGTGGGGGAGGCTAAAGCATTTGCAACAATTTTCAGTCAGAAGTGCTAAGTGGACGATTTATCTCAGCCTCCTCTGGAGGATTCCAGCACCATGAAGGCCAGTACTCAACCAATTAAATTCACTCCACGAGATGTCAAGCATCAGTGGGAAGCACTGGATATTGAAAAAGACTATAGGCCCTGACAACATTCCTGCAAAAGTATTGAAGGGTGAGCTTGCCAACTGGATACAAAACTGGCTTTAGGGGAGGAGACAGAGCGGTGGTGGAGGGTTGTTTTTCAGACGGGAGGCCTGTGACCAGCAGCGTTCCACAAGAGCGGTACCCAGTCCACTTTTGGTTATCATGTATATAAGTGATTTGAATGGGAATATAGGAAGCATGGTTAGTAAGTTTGCAGATGACACCAAAAGTGGTGGTATAATGGACAGTGAAGAAGGTCATCTAAGATGACAAAGAGATCTTGATCAATTGAGTCAATGGACTAAGGAGTGGCAGATGAAGTTTAATTTCGATAAATGTGAGGTATTGCATTTTGGTGAAACAAAGAAGGGCAGCACCTATCTAGTAGGGGCCCGGGTACTGTTGCAGAACACAGAGACCTGGGAGTTCAGATACATACTTCTTTGAAATTTGGATCACAGGTAGACACAGTGGTTAAGGCGGCGTTTGGCATGCTTGCCTTCGAAAACTCAATGGTCTGAGCAATGTTCTGAGGAAGGGTCACCAGAACATTAACTCTGATTTCTCTTCACAGATGCTGTCACACTTGCTGAGCTTTTCCAGCAACTTCTGTTTTTGTTTCTGAATTATAGCATCCTCAGTTCTTTCAGTTTTGAGTGTAGGTTTTGGGGCATCATGCAGGGTTCTACAGGACATTAGTGAGGCCTCTTCTTGGAGTATTGTGCACAGTTCTGGTTGCCCTGTTATAGGACAGGTGTTATTAAACTGGAGAGGGTTCATAAAAGATTTACCAGGATGTTGCCAGGAATGGAGGGTTTGAGTTATAAGAAATAGGGACTTTTTTTCACCACAGCATAGGTGGTTGAGGAGTGATCTTATTGAGTTATAAGAAATCATGAGCGGTATAAAGTTAATGACAAGTGTCTTTTCCTCAGGCTAGGGGAGAATTCCAAATTAGGGGGCATATTTCTAAGGCGAGCAGTTTAAAAAGGGACTTGAGGGGCAACTTTTTTTTTTTTTTTTAAAAAGACACAGACAGGTTTGCGTGTGGAATGAACTGCCAAAGAAAGGAGGTGAATGCAGGTACAGTTACAACATTTAAAAGACATGTAAATAAGTTCACGAATAGGAAAGGTTTGGAGGGATACAGACCAAGTGCAGGTAGGTGGAACATTGTCTGAGATTTGAATACAGGCCTCCCAACTCAGAGGTAGGGACACTACCACTGCACAAGAGACCCGTTCTAGCAGGGTTCTACGCTGACAGTTGATGGTGTTTCTGTATTTAACAATCCATTTCTTTGTATTGAATAATCGTTCTTGTTTAGCACAGAAATCGGGTCCTTATTTCGTCAGCCTACATCTATCCGACAAGTAAATTGGCACTTTATATACTTTGACAAAACCTTGAACTTCTGATGACTCCAGCAATACCAGGGCTTGATTTGCAGTGCACTACTATGCAGCATAGCTCCAAATAAAGCTTTAATCATTACTTTCAAATTCATGGGCTAATAGCAAGTGCATTCTGTCATATAATGTCCATGGCTGATTTTCCTAGATTTCTCATAAAAAAATTATGAGATGTGAAAACCGCAAATAGAATGCTGGAAATTCAATTTGAATGTTTAACGTGGAGCAGCACAATCACCTTTAATCGATAATTTTGAAGTTTCTGTATTTGTAGAGTATCACAGCACGGAAAGTGGCATTTAGTCCATCATGTTTCTAAGGCAGACAGCAAAAAGTCTAACATAATATCACAAAGAAATTCTGTGGAACAGTTCCCATCCATACTGTATGGAATGTATAGCATAGACAACAAAAGAATCAAACAATGAGATCAGACTAGCTTCTTGCATCAGCTTTTTCTACAAGCTGTGAAGTAGCTGACATTTACACAGCACACTGCATGCTGAACAGAAAATAAAATAAAAATAATTGATCTACTGAGAAGGTTAAAACATCAGTCAAGTAAACTTTGACATCACTGAACTTTCAAGAATCCAAAAGAGGAAAACTACAAGCACCTAAAATCATAAATCCATAAGACATAGGAAAAACGATAGGCCGTCGGCCCCTTGAGCCTGCTCCAACATTGAACAGGATCATGGTTGATCCGATATTCCTCATTCACAAAGGGAACCTAAGAGACACACAGAGGGTGCTGCATGTATGGAATGAGCTGCCAGAGGAAGTGGTGGAGGCTGGTACAATTACAACATTTAAAAGACATCTGATTGGGTATATGAACAGGAAGGGTTTTAGAGGCATATAGGCCAAATGCTGGCAAATGGGACTAGATTAAGAGAATATTTAGTCAGCGTGGACGAGTTGAACAGATGGGTTTGTTTCCATGCTGTACAACTCTATGACTCTGACTTTCCTGCCTTTTCCCTATAATCCTCGATTCCCCTACTGATGCAGAATCTATCTAGCTCAGCCTCAAAAACACATCAGGACTCTGGCCCCCACAGCTCTGTGGCAAAGCGTTCCAAAATCTCCGAAACCTCAAAAGAAATTTCTCATCTCCATCTTAAATTAGTGTCCCTTTATTCTGAGACTATGCCCCCTAATCCCAGACCTCTCCCGCGACAATAAATCCTTTCAGCATATACTCTGGCAAGCCCTTCAGAATCTCAAACTTTTCAGCTTTGTTAAGGGAAGGTCATGCCTGATAGAACTCCAAGCAGATAACAAGCAAATTCAACAAAGGAAAGCCAGTGGACATGATCTATTTGGATTTCCAGAAGGCCTTTGACAAAATGCTACTCAGGAGGCTGCTAAATGTAATAAGAGCCTTTGGTTTTCTGGGCAAGGTACTGGCATGGATACAAGATTGGTAGAAGAGGATAGAGAGTAGGAATAAAGGGCTTTTTTGTTAAGGATGGCAGCCACTGACTAGAGGAGTTTCACAGGGGTCAGTGTTGGGACCACAACTACTCACATTGTACATTAAAT